CATGCTTAGTGTGAGGGATTGCTGAAGAGTCAATGAGTCGATGCAATCAGCTGGTTTTCCTTAAATATAAATATTTTGAAATATGATTGTTTCCTGTATAACTAGATTTTCCCTTTGTGAGTCTCCAGGTTGAATCTGTTCAGGTAGACCTCAGAATTACTAAATCCAACCTGAACCTGTCTGAAGCAATGGGACGCTAGATTGCAAAAGTATTTATATCCCTTAAAGTTTTTAAAATCTAGTTAGATTGCAAATACAAATTCAGTCTAGTTAGGAAAGACAAACACTTAAAGCATCTAAGTTCAGGGCAGGGATGACGTTTGATCTGTAAAACTGACTAAAATCCTATAATCCACAGATAAAGCTGCCATTCTGGCATGATCCTTTGTTTTGGTTGTTTCCTTGGATACTCCATGTTTTTCTACCTTTCTCCAGTTGCTGCCATTTTATTTGACAAGTTTATGGATAAGCTATTTAGTTCTTTATTAGTTTCTATGTGTATTTGATCATTTTAACATTTGTTAGGTCATTCTGCCTCAGCTGTCAATCATTCTGCCTCAGCTGTCTGTCCAAATTATGCTCCGCTGTTTCTTCTTCACATGATTGCTCTTACTTGCTTTCCACTGTATATAAGCTGTCTGGTTCTAATTGTTTATGGGCTTTTTGCCAAACTCCACCTGAACTTCGGCAGCTCCTTTGTTTCATGTCCCCCTGATTCATCCAGGTGTGTCTGCCCTGTGGCATCATGGTAAATGAGGTCAGACACCTGAATGAAGAAACGCAGGAATGAAAGGAGCGGCTGAAGTTCGGGGAAGTAGCAAAGTTTGGCATATAGCCCATGTTTGGATTCTTCTGTTGCATTAGCAGTTATTCTGTTCATGATGTGTTTACTGCCTCTCCTTGAGATTAGGCCGTAATTTTGCTATTCGTCATTTACCCCCCCCTATGGTGCCTGGATGCACTTTGGTCCAGCAAACAACCATGGCATCATGAAAAAAGCTTTGGGTTTCAGTAAACATTCGTTTCCCAAATGGAAATAACATGGAAGAGTGCGTGACCTTTCCAGGAAAGGTCACCTAATCAAACCCAGTAAGAACGTCACAAAAGAACACAACACCTGCAGGCCTCACCTGCTTCCGTTAATATCAGTGTTTTTCATTCAAAGAAATTTGGTCGGGTTCAAACTGTTTTTTTGCTTCAGGACCTTTTCTATGGAGAACTGAGCAGAAAATCTTCATTCTACTAAAAACATGCTAATAATGTTAGCATGTTTTTAGTAGCTCATTTCATTGGCTAAGAGCTGCTTGAATGCATCGACTGTAGGTTGCTTTGGCTTGAGTTCACCAAAAGGTCACCTGAATTTTTTGCAGCTGAATTTTTACTGGATAAAAAAAGGAATTCAATGTGTAAAAAAAATTCTGTGTTTAAAATACAGCGTTAAAAAGAATTATGTGATTAAAATTCAGTGCTAAAAAAAATTATGTTTAAAATTCTGTGCTAAAAAAATTGTGTGTTCAAAATTTGGTGCTAAAAAACATTTTGTGTTTAAAATTCAGTGCTCAAAAAAAATCTGTTGAAAAATTTTACGCTAAAAAAAGTAGTACCGGTATTTAAAATTTGGTGATAAAAAATTATGTATTTAAAATACGGTGCTAATAAAATTATTATTTTTGAAATTGTTGCTAAAAAATTCAGTAAAAAAAAATTTGTTGCTAACAAACTTTTTGTATTTAAAATTCAGTGCTAAAAAAAAATCTGTTAAAAAATTAGGTACTAAAAAAAATGTTATTCTGTGTTTAAAATTTGGTGAAAAAAAATGTGTTGCTTAACATATGGTGTTAAAAAATGTAGTAATTAAAATGCAGTACTAAAAAAAATTCAGTTAAAAAATGTAATGCTAAAAAAAATGTGCATAAAATTCGGTGCTAAAAAAAAATCTGTTAAAAATATGGTGTTAAAAAACTTAGTGTTTAAAATTTGATGCTAAAACAATTATGTGTTTAAAATATGGTGAAATTTGGTGCTAAAAAATGTCTTTAAAATTCTGCGGTAAAAAAAAAATTTGTACAATCATTACATCAGCTCAGCGATGTCAAATCATACCTGGACACCATGTATTTCTTTCTTCTTTATTACCTATAGCCAATGTCGTTCCATCCTCGATCTTCTTGGTGAAAACGTTGCATGGACCTCATGTTACGGGAGCAAGATGGGAAGGACAAACATGGCGATGAAGGCTGATAGGTATGGTGAATGTAGAGAAACCCAAGGGGGAGAGAGAGAGGAATGGGAATATTCTTGTGAGCTTTTGCTCCCCACTGACAGCGAGGGATGATCTGAGGACAATCTGCATTCAGGGGGAAACATTTAACTGGTTAACAGCTCACTTCATACTGTCCTGCTAAAGTATTTTCATGCTTTCAATGTCTTCGTTTGCTACTTCAATTTTACGGATTTCCATATTATTGACCCAAAGTGTTTAAAAACTGAAGCTAATCAGGCGATGAGGTTTACAGGAACCTTTTCCACACAAATCTAATATTTATTGCCAGCAAATATAATAATCTGTAGATCCATAGATATTAATACGTAGATGCCTCATTGGACGCTGTCGGCAGCGAGGCTGACGTGCCTACAGGGCGGCCATCTTGGATCAGACTACAGTTCAGTCAGCTGCTGTCAGAACGAACTGGAGGCGCCTTAGATCTCGTTTTAATCCCATGAAAGACGAGTCACAGATATTAAAATATTATAATTATTATAACATTTTCTCATATTTATAAATTATTATAAAAAACATAGTTTAAAAGAAAGAGTTTTCAACAAAGTTTAGACAAATTTATAAGGACAAAAGTCTTTAGTTAGATACAACATAAATTTACCAATCATTACAAGTTGACAGAAAAGTCTTTACAATTACAAAAGAAAAAGAAAAATTAACATTGAATTAATAAAAAATAAAAAATAATAACTTTACTCTTTTGTAAATCACATTACAACAAATTTTCTCTAGATCATAATACTCATTATCCAAGAACAATCCTTTAAAATACTGAATAAAAATAAAATACTATATAAATATATAATATTTGTAAAACATAATTTCATAATATATTAATAGAAAACTTTGTGTTTATCATATTAATATTTAATTTCAACATCTATAACTTTGTAAAT